AGAGGTGGAGGAAGTGGGGAGAGTTAGAATCAAGGAAGAGTTGCGAAGATCTTACGGGTGATTGCTAGGAGTAAGTGCTGAAATCCGAGGAAGATTTGAACTATTATGAATGCGAAGGAGGAGACAGAAGCCCGCTTCCAGTCTTTGAACCCATAAAATTTTTAAGTTAGTTATCTGGCATCTATCTGGCTAGGACATATTTGGATGTTCCATGCCTAAAAGTTTTGTAGTAAAACGTCTTTGAAAATCTTCAATTTTTGAACGACTAGCCTAGTTCATCAAATCCAAGAATGGGCAATAATTATTGCCCATTTTTGGATTTGATGAACGAGGCTAGTCGTTCAAAAATTGAAGATTTTCTGTATCCGCGAAATTAAAATAAGACTCTATCAAATGCTTGTACTTCCCATTCTCGAGTATTAATACTCGAGAATGGGAAGTACAAGCATTTGATAGAGTCTTATTTTAATTTCGCGGATACAGAAATTGTAAGAAATAAAGCCACAAATCAGGGCAGCTTTGGCTGTAATTATGTCAGCTTGTGGAGAAAGATCAAGAGTATTAGTTTAGCTTATAACTAAATCCTTAATGGTGGTACATTAATTCATAGGTGTGCCTTGAAATGCCCCTGGTTGGGACAGCCTATGGGGTCCAAATAACATATGGCAACATTTAGAGGGAGGGAATTCCATTAGCCATTTTACACTCCAAGCCGAAGGAGCCAGCAAGTCAGCATGGATTTGCCCAAGACAAGGAAAGGTCGTGGATTAAGTGACTGAATATAAACATTTGAGATCATCAGCATAAATGAAGGCTTGAAAAAGTTTAATTACTGACGAGATATCATTCAAGTAAAACAGGAACAAAAGAGGCCCTAAAACGGTGCCTAGTAGGACACCACTTACAGTAGGGTTCTCAATGGAAAATTAAGATCCCACTAAAACCTTTTGTTTGCGATTAGACAGGTATGACATGGTAAAGATTATAAGGAGACTGTGGAGTCCCAGAGCTTCTAATTTAACCAAGGGTCTTCTCTGTGGCACTTTATCAAAGGCTTTACTAAGATCAAAATAAATAACGACAACAGATAAATGATCATTACGAAGAGAAGCAAATAGATTGGGAAACAACATATGTTTCACAAGAGCAATCTGAAAAAAAACATGCTGGCAAGGGCTAATAACCAGATTGGGTACGCAAAACCCCGTATACAATGCCATTTGCAAGCCAGTCCTGTCTGACCCACATTCGTGCCCATCAAGGCGGACATTTATTGATACCCTGACGATGACCGACAACATTCCGTTATATACCGCCACCTACAGGCCAGTCCTGCTCGCTTTTTTCTGTTATTATTTTTAAAGAGGGGTTTTTTTCTCCTGTAAAATTAATCCAATCTTTTTTAACTTTTTCTTAGGAGTTTTTTTTTTTCACCCCTCAATCATCATGTTTCTCAATGGACTTCTAATTTAGAAAGTAGGAATTGCATTTTGTAAAGATTCGGCCTACCTCGTCTAAAACTCGCATGCAAATTTATTTTAACTTGCTTTGATGGGACCCCGACGGGTCTTTAATAAAAAAAAATTATCAAAAAAAAATTATCAAAAGTCGGTAATTTCTATAACGATAATTTTTTCAAAGATTTTGGTGAGTTCATTAGCTGTCTCGGAGAGCCTATTTTATTCTTCAAATAATCTTCCCAGATCTCTCAACTTTGCCAATCTGAACAGATTTTTTGAGTTCTCGACCTTTTATCGAAATGCCACCATGGGTTCCGGAAAGAAATATCCTGCACCACAAACTTGCTGCAATCTCTCCAAAGCTGGGCCCGAGCTCTCAAGGACAGGCACGCGGTCCACGTATCCTTCACTGACGTCCAGAAAGCGTTCGACACTGTATAACACCAGAGATTGTTACGCAAACTGAACAAAACTGGGATCAGCGGCAACTTCATCAGATGGATCGAATTATTCCTTGTGGGTCGACAGCAGGTTGTGTGCATTGGTCAATGAAAATAATATCGTGCTCTGGTCGAACGTGGGGTTCCCAGGGGTCAGTACTGAGGCACATTTTGTTCCTGACATACGTGGACGATTGCGCATGAACTTTGGACTGCGAAGTAGCACTGTTGGCAGAGGACATGAAGACATAGTGTGTAATTCGGGGCCCTGCTGACGAAGACAGACTGCAGATGAACTGAAATCGGTCGGAAGAGTTCTCAAAGAATTGGCCTCTGCGGTTCAACGTCGTTAAGTGTAGCACGCTTCGTCTAGGCAATACAGCCAGATCCGCCAGCACAAGAGACTACTTTCTGGTCGGTACAGCATAACGAGACGTCAAAGCCGGAAAGAACCTCGGTGTGTTGACGACGAACTCTCTGAAACTATCCACTCATTGTTCGAGAGTGACAAAAGTGCAATAACCGTATTGTACGTCATTAAGCGTGCATTTATGGACTTTGACGAAAATGTTTTCTCAAAGACATTTGGAACATTCGTCCGGCCGTACTTGGAATACGACATACAATCCTGGAGACCGTGGGCTATTGAGAACCAAAACTGCCTCGCGAGAGTTCAGAGGAGAGCCACGAAGATGGTTATGGGTCAAGACTCCTTTCCTTATGAAACCCGCCTAGTAAAGCTGAACCTCTTCTCTTTGAGTTACAGGCGACTTCGGGGGGATCTCTTAAAAGCATTTCGCATTCTAAAGGGGTTGGATTGATGCCTCGCCTTCGAGGACTTTTTTGAATTTTCATCACGACCAACTCCCGAGGTCACCCGATAAAACTGTGCACTCACTAGGCAAGGCTGGATGTGCGGAAGTTCTCCTTCTCTGTTCGAGTGGCCGAACCATGGAATGTCCTTCCTGCAGATGTTGTGATGTCACCATCTATACAAAGCTTTAAAAAAACCTCGACATATTCATATTCCGAAATGGCCAAGAGCGATGAGAGTTCGAGCTCATCCTCTGTAACTCGCTCCCATTTTGTCCTACCATTATGGGCTGGTTTGAATTATTTTAGCTCAGAAAATTTTTCCGTATATCACACATTTTACATTGTAAGTAGGTTACTCAAAGACTTACGCCTATTTCCCTCAATAACTTCAGCTGAACTGAACTGAATCTATCTTAACATATGCACGTCTTTTCGGTACATGTCTGTAAATAGGCTTTTCAGAAGCTCTCCCTTATATACACTGAATTAATTGACAGCACGAGGACACATCGCCGGAAAGACATTACTATTCTCTCAGAATCCGCACAGAAGAGGCTCGGTGTTTGGATAATGAGCAATGTGAAACCAATACTGCAGTGCAAGAAGGCAGCAAAAAACGCCATGAAGGTACTACATGCGATCAAAAGGGCGTTCGTAATCTTTGACAAAGACGTTTATGGGAGGGTTTGCGGTAACTTTTTTCGGTCCCATCTAGGATACGAGATATAAGCAAGGCGGCCATGGCTAGCAAAAGACCAACAATGAATCGAAAATGTAAAAAATCGTGCAAAAAGGCTGGTTAAGGATTAAAAAAACCAATCTTACACAGAAAGGCTGAAATGCCTTAATTTATCCTCTCTGTGCTATAGACAGCAAGGAAGTGATCTTATCCTGGTTTGCAAGATAAAACGTGGCCTTGAGCGCAGACTGAACTTTGTGGGGATGTTCCGTTAGCATCTTTCGTCCAATCTTCGTGGCCAATCAATGAAGCTACGTGCAAAATATCCAGGCTTAACCTCCACTCTAAGTTTTTTACAGAAAGGTAGTGGAGAAATGTAGTGTTCTCCCTCAATCATTCGAAGAGATGGACACCATGCAGCTCTTCAAGAAAAGGTCTGATCATTTCTTGTGTCCCCCGTTGGCCCTCACAGTCAGAAATTGGGCTGAATGCCTCATTAACCCCAGGAAGTTCGTCTTTTAAACCAATGATACTTATATCGCGCAGGTACTGTTTTAATAGCAACAATTTTCACTGCCCGTGTGCAGTTGTATCTAAAGAAGTGGTATGCGTTCAGTGGAGTATTCGAAGGCGTTGCCGATTATCTTCACCAAATAAACTGCAACAATAAACCGAAACATAAGCCCGTGGGACCGGGAGCAATTCAAATGACGCAAACAGAAAAAACGGCTATCCGCTGCCTGCTGGAGCGGCGACATTATCATTCTGTGTTTAAGAACAAATGCATGGATCAAAAGGGAGTTGAAACTAATACAGAATTATTCTAACTACCGCATCCGTATTAGCACATGTCCCCGTCCTAAACGAATGGTTTAACTGGGATGGACTGGGCCCCTCGTTAAAGTTCACCTGCTGCCTAGTTTGGACTGGGATAGACGAGGCCAACGGTTGGAATTGAAATAGGTTGTCCAGTCTACCCTAGCACCCGAAAAGAGTTAAGGGAATGTATTGGGTCGAACGGTGGTTTCTAAGGCTTAATTCACATGGGGAGTATTTGAAAGCGAGGTTCCTTCCCGTAATTTGTTTTGCACCAGTAGTTGAATTTGTACTTATACTTTTTGATTTGCATTTTTATGTAGATTTTTTAGTTTTTTACCCAAATTTATGGCTTTACTTTTTTCCCACACAGTCAACCAGCCGTTGGCCAGTGATTAACAACGACCTGATTCTCCAGCCTCCCATGGATTCTCCAGACTGTGTCCAGCTTTTCGGCCCTTCCTCGACTTTTCATTCATTCTTGATAACGCCGAAAGCAACAGAAATATTCTGTAGCTTGAACTCCCATCCGCACCATACGCTTTAACTCGAACCACCAGGATTTGATGAGGGTTTTAGCAAAGTAAACTCGCCTTCAAGAGATCAGGATAAAGTATACTGGGGCATCTCACACAAAACTGGCCAGTTTAGATCATTGTTGAAAAAATCATTAACTAAAGCGACAGCACGTATACGACAAACACGATCGAATTCAACAATCAGTTGCCCGGGTACTTTGTTTAAGTACTTTGGCGCGCACTGAAGGTTAGCCCCTCGTGATTAAGCTCGATGTCCTCGAACGCGGTGACTGCTCTGTCTCTGGGAGGCGAAAGAGTCACTGGTGAGTCGGTCAGAAAGCAGAATGGTAAGAACTTTGAGCCATTTATTTATTGTAGTTATGGCTGCATGCTCGATCGCGAACATCGTCAAAACTAGTCTCGGGCCTGTCGGGCTGGACAAAATGCTCGTGGATGACGTTGGCGATGTTACGATTACAAATGACGGTGCCACGATTCTGAAGCTACTTGACGTCGAACAGCCAGCCGCCAAAGTCCTAGTTCAGTTGGCGCAACTGCAGGATGATGAGGTTGGCGACGGTACCACTTCCGTCGTTATCTTGGCTGCTGAACTCCTACGGAATGCTGACGAATTAATCAGCCAGAAAATTCACCCCACGACAATTATAAGCGGGTATCGCCTCGCTTGCCGCGAAGCATGCAAGTACATTCAAAACAACCTCGTCCTGGATTCCGACTCCCTGGGAAAATCGTGCCTCGTCAGCGTTGCGAAGACATCAATGTCGAGCAAGTTGATTACCCTGTAAGCGTGATTTTTTTTCAGACTGATGAAACCGTTCACAGTCATCCGTAAATTTTATTATTTGCCTAACCAGGTCAGTCAGGTCAATTCATGGCCTCGGATAAATTTTTGCAGCCGTTGGTGAAATGCTTCCGAGAGGAATGCAGTGTCAACCCGTTTAAACCAAAAGACATCTAGTAAAGGTTTGCCAATCGGGACCCAAAGACCGATAATTATCCAGAATATATCATTCAATCAACTCTTTCCTCCACCTCGAAGGTCGACTGAGTACTGCCAAAATACGTTGCACAAGACGGCACAAAAAACAATTTGCAGTGTCCATAACACGCAGACACCCTAGAAATTAGACTACCGACAGCAGCGATCAACGCCACAACAGCCAAAAAGCAGGAAATACTGTCAGGAATTGATGTGCGAGTCTCAGGTAAAGTAACTGAGGAGGAAGAGGTGGTCATTGGGCATAGTTCTATATTGCACCGTCAGACCCCGGTGATGAACATTTGCATACACTCGAAAATTCCGACCCGAGACATACCTATCACGCTGACCGCCTTGTATTTTTCATGATTTAGTGATCCTATAAAAGTATGCTTAGTCTTCGACAATGCGGAATGTTGAGCAAAATTCCTATTTGCGTGCATACAACTGAGGCGTTGGAATCCGGAAGGACTTGTAAGCAATAAGTGGTAGAGAATGGA